AAAGATCTTGGCTCCTTCGGCGACAGCTTGGCCAGCTTGTTGAACAACGGTATCGGCATAGTTTTTGAGGTTCCGCGAGATGTTACTGGTTTTCCCAGCCTCCACCGCTTTGTTCACCGCCGTTCTCAGCCACGACATTCCGTTTCTTTTCTCCGGTCAATGCAATTTGGATTAAGTGATTATGTCAGAGGGAAATATATGGTTTTGGAATTTAAATGGGACAGAAATGGGGGAAATGTTCATTCAATATCGATTGTATATTTGTTTGGATGACGAAGAAAAAGAAAACGACGGCGTTCGGTAGGATGATGTGACGTCGTCTGGCCCCACACGTGCTCAGTCTTCTTACAAGTTTGTTAGAATGTATTTGGTTCACGAAATATAAGATTATTTTTTGGAATAATATTATTCGAATGTAACATTATTATAAGAATAATATATTATCTTATTTGGTTTGTTTAATAGGAATGTAAGATTACAGTGTTAGTCTGGAGGAATATAAGATTACTTAGATGCATATTTTATTAAATTATTCTTGTGATATATTTTTTTAAAGTTAAAATTTAATATTAATTTATAAATATTTAAATGAAAATTTATAAAAATATTTTAATGATTATACTATTTAACTTTTGAGGAGAAATTACAATTAATATATAATTAATATAATTAGTATATTAGATTTATATTTTTAAATAATGTTCATAATAACCATATTTATTTATATAAAATATAATATAATATAAAAATAATATTATGATAGTAAAATATTATTTTAAATAATTACATTTTTATAATAGTACAATTTTTTTTCTTATAAAATTATAAATAGTAAAATATTGAATATTAAAAATATAAAATATTTTAAATTCTCAAAATTATTAATATTTTAGTAAATTAAACTCTTTGTATATTATTATTATTATTATAAATTTGAGTAAAGTATAAAAAGTAAGAATTTATAATGATCATTATAAAAAGAATTCATTAGTCTAAGGGTATTTTTGTCCAAAGTGATGGAATATCAGATTACTTAAGAATTTAGAGGTAATGACATTCCCACCATTTTAACCCAAAAATGCTACTATTAATAATGTAATATTCCCGATAATGTAAGATTACGTGAACCAAACGTGGAAATATAATTCCGGAAAAAAATATTCCACTTGGTAATGTCAGATTCCGTGATCCAAACGCACCCTTAAATTTTTCTTTTTTCCTTTTTATCATAATAGAGCTTAATTAATTAATTAAATTTCTTTAAAATAATAGATAAACTATAGAAAATGCCCCTAAACTTTTATTTTTATATCAAAATGATACTAAACTATAAATTGATACGATTACAACATTAAACTTTAGTTGCATACAAATATATTATTAGATTGTCAACCCATTAACAATAGAATAATTATGATAATGTGCTGCTGATAGTGTGCTGATGTGAAAGTTAAAAAATGTTTTTGTATTTTATTTTATTGTCATTTTCATAAAAATTAATATTGTTATTTATTTTTAATCTCATAGATTATCACTCTTTGACGTCTTTAATAACTATTATCGATATTAATAATTTCATTTCATTTTTTGTCATTATTTAGTTTAGATTTTCTCAAAATATTTTAAAAACTCACAAAATTAAATATAAAAAAATCATTATCTTTTTGGAGTTTTGAAACTTTATTGAATTTAAGAAATTTGGAATTTTTTTTCGAAAATTCAAAAGGTGAAAAACTATTATTTTGAGAAGATGAACAGCATACCTCGAAAGCAGCTTTATTGAAAAATCATCGAAGGGGATTAGAGTATTAGCACATCAAAATTTGAAATGAATATATTGTCAGTTTTAAATAAAATTTATGAAAAGTCAACTCGAAAATAAGAAAGACGAGTGAAACATAAATATTGTGATATATCTCAAAATATTGATCAACGATAAATGACAACCGAAAAATTTAGTGTTTAAAATTAAAGTATTTTAAAATTTAATTTGATACACAAATTAAAGATTTTATATATTTTTCAAAAGCAATAATGTTTTGAACATTAATATGTTCATTCTAAAAGGATGTCGTTTATTTAATAAAATTTTACAAAATAAAAATTTAATTAGCTCAAATATAAAAAAATTATTTTTTGTTTTCAAAAATTATTTATTTTGCACCAACATCTTATATACATATTTTCTTTTTTTCTTGTGTCATCGTTAAACTTTTCTTCTTCTTCTTCATTTTTATTATTGATGTCATATTAATTTTAGTGTTGATAATCAATCGTCAGTATTTATTGTTTTTTTATTTAATTATATTATATTTTTAGTTTTTATTATTTTTAATAAATTTACTTTTATGACATGATTTTTAATTTTATGACACATTTCCTCTTTATCTTTTGTCACGTTTTCGATTGTTTAATTTTTATTTTTATTTATCTTTTTTTTCTAATGGTTGGATTTGATATCGTTACGACTGATCAAGACGACGCTTATTTGTTAACATATTGCTTTTTCATGTTTGGAGCCTTGCATTATATTTATATATGCAATTTTTGTTTGTAGATAGTTTTCTTACGTCGCTCGATTTTATTTACGGTTTGTCATTAATCATTCAGTAGTTTCATCATTTTTTGTGGTTTGTTTGTCGATGTAGTCAAATCAATTTGTATCTATCTTTTATTCGAGATTATTTGATTAGGTTTTTCAATCTTTTCCTATGGTCCTCGTTTGATATTAAGTGGCTAGCTTTTTTTTTTGTTAATAATTTAGGAAAATGTTTGTTTCAAAGATCTTGCATGTGGTTCCAGATTATCATCTCAACTTGGAATTATGATGGAGTTGTCATCGATCGTTTTCAAATTATGTAGATCGGACACGTAAGCTTTTGCCATTTATTTGATCTGCATCTTACCAGATAATAGTCGGATTCAAGAGAAGATTACAATCTAGAAAGAATGAGCACCCTCGAATTACCTTTTAGTACCACACAATTAACCGGTTGTCTTAATTGCGAAAATTGAATTTTAGGTACAAAATTAAAAATTCAATCCAAGTTATTACCTTTGAGTATTTGTTATTGTAAAACAAAAAAAATTAAGGGTTTTAAAAAAATGAAGGAATTTTTTTTAATTTAATCTACGAACATGAAAAAAAAATTGTCACGGGTACCAATATAAAAAATAATGTAATTTATTTTTGAACAAATTAACACTAAAAAACGAAAATAGATATACAAAATTAAGAAGACTTGTGTCATAAAAATACCCATGAAAAAAATTGAAAAATTAAATTAATAAAAATAATGAACATAAAAAAGGAATTAAAGAGAAACAACACAATCGAATGGAAACAATTAATTCCAAATAATAAAAAAGGAAATTAAATTAAATTTAAAAAAACAAATTAAGGAAAATAAAAAAAAGGAGAAAAATGTAAGTTACAAAAGTTAAAAAGAAATGGAAATGATTTGCATAAATTGACCAAAAGAAAATAATTGTCGATTTTCATTAAAAAAAACTTTAAGGTTATAATTAACCAAAACAAAATAAAGATAAAAAATAAAATAAAGATAAAAACAAAAGAAAATAATTGTCGATTTTCATTAAAAAAAACTTTAAGAAAAGTTAAATCTAAGAATATTAATTCACAACCCTTTTTTCCTTCCTCGATTTTCTCTCCACCGATAACAAATTTTTGAAGAAATTAAAGACAAATAAAAGAAAAAAAATCGAATTTGAACTAAACAAATAAATGCACACAAAAATTTACCTTTAATCAAAGGTTTTCTCTTATTACTTATATTTACCAAGTTACAATCCTTTTTCCCAAAAAAAAAAGTTATTTCATTACAAAACAAAATGTGTCTATTTATTGGCTCTCAAAAACCTTAAAAGTAAAAAAAAAAACCTCTAAAATCTTTTCTTTAATTATAAATACATTAATTAATAAAAGTAATATTAACAAAATGAAAATATCTTAAATTGTCCTAAATAAATAATAGAAAGTATAAAGCTCAATTTTTTCACAAATAATTAATTAAAATAATTGAAAATTAGGAATAAATTAAAATTTCCATATTTGACACGTATCTAATTTTCTACACATTGTTTTCGCTAAAATAAATATATATTGAGTTTTCAATGTCCAATTGAGGCGTTTTAAAATGATTTGGAAAGTCAACTGGAAGTCGGTCATATCTCAAGAGACATTATGCCCTGTAAATGTTTGGATGTTGCTTGAAAATTTATTTCAAGTTGGTTGATGTCTTGGCCTTAAAAATCAGCTTCCATAAAATGTTCGGGATTTGGGGAAAAAATTAGGCTGGATAAAAATCAAGTATTACAATGTCCTTATTATGTGTTTAGTTTTTCGTTGTGATGGTAAACATTCAGTGTATTTTGAATAATTTCTATTTTTAATAAAATTAGCGGTTTTTGTTTTTTCAAAAAAAAAATTGTTTGTTTATTTATTTATTTTGATTTTAAAATATTTTTTTATTATTTTATAATTGGCTTTATAAATTGTGAGGTAAACTACGTATAGTATTTAAACTATTAATTTTGATCTGATTAGTATCTAAACTTTCAAATTTTTTTAAAACAATACCTAACATTTAGTTTTTATTTTATTTTAGTACCCCACCGTTAAAAACTTAATGCGTTTACTACATAAACTATCAGTTTTGATCTATTTTAGTACTTAACTTTCAATTTTTCAAAAATGAACGTTAAATTTTGAATAAGATACTAAAATGAAATAAAAACTAAAGTTTTTAATTGCAGATATTAAAATGAAATAAAAACTAATTTTTAGGTATGATTTTAAAAAAAATGAAATTTTAGGTTCTAAAACATATCAAAACTGATAATTTGATTATTAAATGTGTAATTTACCCTAAATTGTAACTGGGACACTTGTACACCGCAAATATCCAATGAGAAAAATTACAAATCAATCTGCAGAAAAAATTCAACCACTGAAAAAAAAAAGATAAAAAAATTAAAAATCTTATACTGAATTGAAGAGAGGAACAAAAGAACTACCGAAAATGGCCGCAGCGCTTCCCCCACCGGTGTCTTCTCTCAAACTAACAACCACAACTCCATTCTCATCCCCACGCGAACTGTTCCTCGCATTACACAAGCCCCAAACTTCCTTTACCCCACGCGCCACTCCCGATTCCGACTCCGCCGCCGACTCCCCAACGGAAACCGGCTCCTCCTCCGCCACCTCATCCGATTCCGACCCATTCGAATCCCGCCTCTCCCAGGTCCGCATCCGTTACCGAAGAGGAATCGGAAAGAAAGCGGAGCGCCGAAAATCGAAGAAATCAGGATCCGTATCCACTTCGTCCTCCTCCTCCATCTACCTCCCTCCGGTGCCTTTAACAGAGTCGATTTCAAATGGGTTGAAAGTGGATTTCGGGTTTAACCCATATAGCGAGAGAATAAACGGACGGATCGCGATTCTCGGGTTGCTGGCTTTGGTTTTGGTGGAATTGGCTTCGGGTAAGAGCGTGATAAGTTATCATACGCCGGCGATTATCTTCATTCAGATTTATTTTGTAGCTGCAGTTGCGGCTTTGTTCGTTAAATACGAGAAAGAAAAAGCTAGTGTTTGGCCACCTTCTCTATCTAAAATCCAGGTTTAATTTGTAGATGCAGTTATTATGTAATTTATTTGTGATTTTATATTGTGATGGTACCTTTATTATTCAACAAGAAGGGCAATTTACTGAATCGTGCAATTTTTTTATCTTATTTCTTTATTTATGTTCTTTACTTGTAATGCTTGTATGATACATGAAGAAAGTGAGAAATGACCTGTGAATTACAATTTAATTGTCATGCATAATCTGTATGGGACTTGAGCATTCGATTTTCTTGGACCTTTTTCTTAAGGAAATATAAGGATTCTAGCTTCTAGGGTGCGCCTTGACAGCATCAAACCTTTGATGCTTTGGTAAGCGATCAACTGCAGTTTCATGAGATGCAGCACCAAGGCGAGAATTGTGATGCTGGTATAGTTCTTGCAGCAATATTTTCGTGCAACGCTTCAGTCGGATCAACACTGGCAGGTACCATTTCGTCTTTGGGATGCTGTTGTTTTTCCAGGATAGGCCATTTGGGCTTATTGGGATGCGGCAGAGGACTATAATTTATAGGAATCGGGTTCTCCAATGGATCATGTGGCAAAGGAGCCTTAAGCGAAGGTGATTTTGGCTTATTATGAATATGTATTGTATAAGAAGTTGAGGTTTATCATGAATATGTATTGTGTAAGAAGTTCTAATTTTTGTCGTTGATGAGTAAGCGAAGGCAATTACAATCAGAAGAACACCCTAGATGTAACTTCGATGGACTTAAATTTTGCTAGGATATCGGAAGAACAGAGAAGCATTTTGGAAAGGCCCTTCTCGAAGGAGGAGGTCCTGGGAGGCTATTGCTTCGACGGATAGTAGTAAAACGTCGGGTCCTGACGGTTTAAGTATGGGTTTTTTCAAGAAATTTTAGCCCAAAGCCAAAATATTGAGATTCTTCAATGATTTTTTATGGGGAAGAATTGGGAGAATGGAATAAATCATTCCTTTATTACGCTCATTCCTAAGAAGTCGAGTCCGGTGGGATTGGACGATTACATGTCGATCAGCCTTGTGGGGGATCTTTATAAAATGTTATCAAAGGTTCTCGCTAGGAGGTTGAGAGGGTGTATTAATGATGTAGTAGGGCCATCACAGTTTGTTTTCATCCCAGGTAGGCAGATTATGGATTGTTCTTTCTTGGCAAATGAAGGTATAGATCACTTGAGGAAAAAGGACTTAGAGGGGTGGCGTTTAAAGTGGATTTTAGGAAGGCGTATGACTCTGTCAATTGGGGGATGTTGTTAAAGATTATGGAGAAGATGGGATTCGGAATGAGGTGGTGCTCATGGATATTCAAGTGTATTTCGATAGCCTTCATTTCTATTCTAGTAAACGGGGTCTTTGACAGAAGAGTTTAGGATCGCTAGAGTGCTTCGGCAAGGGTGTTCTTTGTCCCCATTGTTATTCAATATGGTCGGGGAATTGCTAAATTTGATGTTGTCAAAGGCAGTAAATTTGGGGCTTTTCTGCGGGTTTGAAATCGGGAAGGTAGGTAGGGATTCTTTCATGTTATCACATCTACAGTTTGCGGATGATCTTCTGATCTTCTGCAACGCCTCTATGGGTCAGCTGAAGAACGTAAGTAGAGTGCTACGCATTTTTGAGTTAATGTCGGGTTTGCAGTTGAATTTGGAGAAGAGCAGTATTGTTAGAATTAATATGGAGGAGTTTGTTATGAAGGAATAAGCAGACGAACTTGGGTGTTCTGCGGGGGAGTTTCCAATTGAGTATCTGGGTCTGCCTCTTGGTGCGAAGAAGAATTCAACTATGCTTTGGGAGCCGATAATCCAAAAATTTTACAAAATATTAGCCGGGTGGAAAGCGGCATCCTTGTCTTTAGCTAGGAGAGTGGTGTTAGTGAAATTAGTGCTTAGTTCCTTGCCCATATATTATCTGTCCATTTTCAGAATTCCAACTCAGGTCTTGAAAAAGCTAAATTCGATCATGACCAAATTTTTGTGGGGAGGATCAGAAGAGAAGAAGATTCATTGGGTTAAATGGTAAATCCTGTGCCTACCTAAATATTTAGGAGGCCTTGGTATTTTAGATCTAAATTTACTGAATATAGCACTCTTTGAGAAATGGGCTTGGAAATTTGTGATAGAAATAGACACTTGGTGGAAAAGATTTGTGTGCAACAAGTATAATGTAGACCCGAGAGCTATTTAGATTGAACTTACAACAACGAACAGGGTATCTTGGATTTGGAAAGGAATTCTGAACAATTGTGAGGTGGATTAATTTGGGCAGTGTTTCCAAAATAATTTAAAACTTCAGGTTGGGAATGGTGAATCTTTAAGGTTCTGGTTATATAACTGATTGGGTGGTTTCCCTCTTAAGGTGCAATTTTCGAGAATGTTCTTGTTATCAGTCAATAAGAAGGGAACAGTTGCTGACTTTAGATGTCGAGATCGATCGGGATGGTGTTGAAACATTCCTTTGAGAAGAAATCTTGCTGATTGGGAGGTTGAGCAATGGGCATAGCTAAATTCCTTGCTTCATAATATTCATTGCAATGAGGAGAAGAACGATGGATGCATTTGGCAGAGGAATAGGGAGGGTATTTATTCAGTAAAGTCTTGTGTTAGGCTATTGTATGAACGACAATCTATTAATTTTGTTTGGACGAAGCAGGTGTGGATTGGGATGGCACCCCCCGAGAGTGGAAACCTTTTCATGGAAAGTAATTCATAAGAAATTGGCCGTCAAATCAGAGCTTGTTAAGAGAGACGTTGAGGGCTTAGAAGATGTTTTGTGTCCTCTCTGTCGACTTGAAGTAGAAAATGTTTCGTATCTTATGGTAATATGTAAGATTGCGTGGGATATTTAGTGCTCCTTGCGAATTTAGATTGTTACAACGGTGCTGTCATGTAATTCGACTGACCTTATTGTGGCTTGGATGGAGTTAGTTTGTTACTCTTCCATTTGGTCGTTAATACCAGGCGCGATCATGTGGTCGGTGTGGAAATGTCGGAATGAAATAGTTTTCAAGGAAGGTTATTTTGATTCAGTTTAACTGTAATTTCTAAGTAGATTTAGATTGGTTTATTGATTTGCGGCGAAATTTCCTTATGCTAAGATGCAATTTAATAGCTTAGTGAGTAACCCATCCTTGGCGGATATTCATTGGAAAGCTAAGAAGACGATTTCCCTCTCTACTACTTGGTCCCCTTCCCTCAGGTTTTCTGAAGATTAATGTTGACAGAGAAGTGAAGAAGGAGTGGCTTAGAGGGGGGTATTGGTGGTCTTATTCATGATTCGAATGGTAAGATGTTGGGTTCTTTCTCAGAAAATGTGAGCCCTGGTCCTTCTATTTTGGCTGAATTGATGGAAATTAAATCATGATTAAGTTTTTTTCTTTGGGAGGGATTGGAGATCTAAAGGAAGATTGATTTTGGAAACAGACTGTTTGAAGGCATTGGAGTGGATTAAAAATCCTGGTTCTTGCCCAACCTTGTTCGAATCTTTGGTTAAGGAAATTTGCTCAGTAGTGGCGAATAAAAATGTAATCCTAAGGCACATTCAGAGATGTTGTAATTGGAAGGCTGATGAGCTTGCAAAGTCGGGTATTGGGTAATTATATGTAGTTTTTTATATTGTTTTGGTATGTATAGGAAGTTTACGTTGTAATATAAGGTGTAAAACTAGTTCTAATTAGGGAGAAGGTCTTAAATGAGTTGGCAGTTTAGAGTGGGTTATTTTTGAGATTGTATTTTGGTTGTGTATGGTTGTAATGAACTATAGATGTACTTGGTATTTCAGGAATAAAATTTTGAGATACACTTTTCCTCCTTCTAATGTCCATCAAACTATATTCGTAGCTTGATGGTTATGAAGGGGGTTTTTAATGAGGCCTCCCATTTTTATAAAATAAAATAAAAAGTAAGCAAAGGCAATTGTGATCGGGCCACTGTAGGTTTATTATATATCACTCTGTAGAGTTTATTATTTTTCTTTAATCTTGTTATCATACACACACACATGCTTATTGCCTTTTACTTCATTTGGACAAGAACTTTTTTTTAGCCTTGTACCCTTGACAACACCAGACCTATGATATTCCAGTAGTGATCAACTGCAGTTTCATGAGATACAGCAACAAGATTCTGATGCTGTTTTGTTTCTCCTTGTGCCAGCATTTTTGTCCATTGCTTCAGTTGAATCATCTGTTGTATCTTTATGATTGGCCATTGTACGCTCCTCATAATACAGTGGAGCACGATGATTATCATTATTGGGAATTGATTCACCTATCGAAGGAGCCTCAAACCAAGGTGTTTGAGAATGGGAACTCTGATAACCAGTAGGATTAACATCTCTTGAACCCAAGGCAGCTTTGTTAATCAAAGATGAATCATTGTTTGCTGAATATCCTAAAGGTGAAAACGTAACCGGTGCCTGCTATTGTTGAAGATGGTCGGAACTCTGATAACTTCCCTTAGGTCGATGCTGTTGTTGAAGATGATCAGAACTCTGATAACTTTCCCAAGGCTGATGCTGTCGTTGAAGATGATCAGAACTCTGATAACTTTCCCGAGGCTGAGGCTGTAGTTTAAGATGATCAAAACTCTGATAACTTTTCTGAGGCTGATGTTGTTGTTGACTTTGATCAGAACTCTGATAACTTTCCTGAGGAGCCCGATTCTGTTGTTGAGTGGAACTGTGATAACCTTCTTGAGACCTATGCTCTTGTTGAAGATGACCAGAACGCTGACAACTCTCCTTAGGTAGATGCTTTTGTTGAAGATTATCCAAACTCTGATAACCTTCTTGAGTCTGATGATGTTGTTGAAGATGATCAGAACTCTGATAACTTTCCCGAGGCTGGTGCTGCCGGCTCTTGACGCTGTTGTCACTGGTCATTCGTCCTTCACTGTAATCTTCAACCTGGTTCCTTTGATGAGTATCCATTAAGGGTGACCCTTGAAAAGATCGACTCTTCTTTTTACTTTTCAGGGAACCCAACTCTCTTGTTTTTGTCAGAAACTTCTTGGTCTTGTTTGGTGCCTTAGTTTCTTTGATATTTATTGAACATGAAAGCAGAATTTTTAATGGAAAGATGATTCAATAATTTAGTTACTGGCTCTAGTAAATGGGACAGGAATAAAGCAACCATATGCCCAGGAAAAAAAAAAGAACAAAGGAACCAGATTATAGAAGTAAAAGAATAAAAAACTCAGCAGCCTGTACTTGACACTTAGACAGCAGCTGTGGCATTTTTGGTAATCTATCTGCTCCAACTTTTCCTTTTTCTTGAAATTGTAGTAGAAATGCATATTTAGATGCAAGTAAGGAGTTATAATCTTTCAAGTGCTCATCAAATATACGGAAATTCTGAAAAAAAACTCATGATACTGTGTTTAGTGGTAAAACTGTTGTTGTTTTGCAGCTATGAGATATGGTCTCAGATTTGGATCGTATGCTGGTTGAAAGCTAATTGGTCAAATATTACTAAACCGTGTAGATATCTATGTAACATCTCGGACTATATCGTGTTAGCTTTCGATACCTTTCTAAAGTTATCTTATCTCAGACCACTTTCAGACTTAACATCAGTGGAGCCTTCAAAGATAATTGCATCCATGCGGGTATCACAGGCATCCTTCTTTGTGAGTCTGGTAAGGCCCTGATATTTTTATGCGCCTACGAGTGTGCGGATGGGAATTATGCAAAAGAAATTGCACGTTTTTGTAAATAAATTAGATCACTCTTTAGAATTTATTAAATATTGTAAGCTTATTATGCACATATTATGCTTTAAATGACAAATTAACACACATAGGACATAGCTTTACTTCACTCGGACTAATTTTTTCCATCCAGAGACAATATAAAAGTCTCTATCACAGGAAGCAAGACCTACATGAAGACCCTGATAATTTTTATTCTTTTTGTAAATTTGCATCAGGACTTCCATCTAACGCTTCAGTTGAATCATCTTCTTTATTTTCATTGATATCCGAGGCAACTTTGTCAGAGATGACCCTAGCCTGCTATTGTTGGAGAGGATCGGAGCTTGGGTTACTTTCCTGTTGAGGCCAAGGCCAATATGTTGTTGCTGGCTCTTGTCGGAGTTGTCGTGGTTGCTCGTTTGTCCAACGCAAACATCTTTGGCTTGGCTCCATTGATAAGCATCCATTAAAGGTAACCCTTGAGAAGATTTGACTGTTTAAAAAAGAATACCGGGAACTCAACTCCCTTTGTTTTCTTCTCTCATGAACTTGGTGTAGTTTAGTCTTGGCCTTTTTTATATTTATTGAGCATAAAACCAGAATTTTACAGTGAAAGATGATGCTATAATTTAGCTTCATTGCTTCAAGACTAAATTGACATGATTGTACGAAAATGAAAGCAATTCTGATTATTCCAAGGAGGTCGAGGCTGCCGGCTCTTGTCAGTGTCAATGCTTCTTGTTTGTCCCTTGCTGTAATATTCATCTCGGTTCCATTAATGAGCATCCATGGAAGGTAACCCTTGAGAAGACCGACTCATCTTTTTACATATACTGAGAAGTCATCTACCTTATGGTAATAAAAATAAACCTACCGGATTGTGCAGAAATAAAAGAATAAAAATCTACTAAATAACTTAACAAGCTTATATCTAACACTTCCTCAAACTGCATTTTTCATGTATTTTTAACTTATTATACATAAAAATTACACACATATTACACATCACTTGTACGATTTTCTTTCTCTTTTCACCTTGCATCTGAAGACAACATAAGTGTTCTATCATTGGCAACAAGATTTAGACTTTGTTTTACCTTTACCTCTTCTTACACGAACATTTTTGTCCCACGCTTCAATTGAATCATCAGAACTCTGATCATTTTCCTGAGGACCCTGGTGCCATTGTTGAAGATGATCGGAACTCCGATAACTTTCTGGAAGCGGATGCTTTTGTTGAGTAGAACTCTGATCACTTTTTTGAGGTGGATGCTGTTGTTGAACGGAATTCTGATAACTTTCCCGGGGCTTATGCTCTTGTTGAAGATGGTCGGAACTCGGATAACAGTCTTTAGGTCGATGCTTTTGTTGAAGATTATCAGAATTCTGATAACTTTCTTGAGACTGATACTGTTGTTGTAGTTGATCAGTATTTTGATAACTTTCCTTAGGTTGATGTTTTTGTTGAAGATTTTCAGAACTCTGATAACTTTCTTGAGACTGATGTTGTTGAAGATGATCGGAACTCTGATAACTTCCCTTTGGTTGATGCTTTTGTTGAAGATTATCAGAACTCTGATAACTTTCCTTAGGCTGATGCTTTTGTTGAAGATGATCAGAATTCTGGTAACTTTCTCGAGACTGATGCTGCTGTTGAAGATGGTCGGAACTTTGATAACTTTCCTGAGGTCGATGCTTTTGTTGAAGATGATCGGAATTCTGGTAACTTTCTCGAGACTGATGCTGTTGTTGAAGATGGTCGGAACTCTGATAACTTTCCTTAGGTCGATGCTTTTGTTGAAGATGATCAGAACTCTGGTAACTTTCACGAGGCTGATGCTGTTGTTGAAGATGGTCGGAACTCTGATAACTTTCCTTAGGTCGATGCTTTTGTTGAAGATGATCGGAACTCTGGTAACTTTCTCGAGACTGATGCTGCTGTTGAAGATGGTCGAAACTTTGGTAACTTTCTCGAGACTGATGCTGTTGTTGAAGATGGTCGGAACTCTGATAACTTTCCTTAGGTCGATGCTTTTGTTGAAGATGATCAGAACTCTGGTAACTTTCTCGAGGCTGATGCTGTTGTTGAAGATGGCCGGAACTCTGATAACTTTCTCGAGACTGATGCTGTTGTTGAAGATGGTCGGAACTCTGATAACTTTCCTTAGGTCGATGCTTTTGTTGAAGATGATCGGAACTCTGGTAACTTTCTCGAGATTGATGTTGCTGTTGAAAATGGTCAGAACTCTGATAACTTTCCTTAGGTCGATACTTTTGTTGAGGATGATCAGAACTCTGGTAACTTTCTCGAGACTGATGCTGTTGTTGAAGATGGTCGGAACTCTGATAACTTTCCTTAGGTCGATGTTTTAGTTGAAGATGATCGGAACTCTGGTAACTTTCTCGAGGCTGATGCTGTTGTTGAAGATGGTCGGAACTCTGATAACTTTCCTTAGGTCGATGCTTTTGTTGAAGATGATCGGAACTCTGATAACTTTCTTTAGGTTGATGCTTTTGTTCAACATTATCAAAACTCTGATAACTTTCCTGAGACTGCTGCTGCTGTTGATGATTATCGGAGCTCTGATAACTTTCTCGAGAAGGCCGATGGTACCGGTTCTTGTCTGCGTTGTCGCTGCTCGTTCGCCCGTCGCTGTAATCTTCAACCCGGTTCCTTTGATGAGCATCCATTAAGGGTGACCCTTGAGAAGATCGACTCCTTTTTCACTTTTACAGGGAACTCAACTCTTTTGTTTCTGTCGGAAACTTGTTGGTCTGGGTTGGTGTCTTGGTTTCTATGATATTTACTGAACTTGAAACCAGAAATTTCAAACCGAAAAATGACTAAATAATTTAGTGTCGTTGCTTCAATAATGGATGAAGAATAAAGCGACAACGAATAAAAATTCCACCAGCTTGTATTTGACACTTCCTCAAACGACAGCTGTGGCATTCTTGACAATGTATCTTACTCGAACTTTTCATTTTTCTTGAAATGATCTTGTTTAATGGTAAGACCCTTTTTTGTGCAGCTATGAGATGTGGTCTCAGACTCAGGATCTTATGGTGGTTGAAAGCTAAATGACCAAATATTGCTGAACATGGTGGAGATCTGCGTGACTTCTCAGACTCTACCGTTGCAGCTTCGAAGAGATGGACGTTTCCAAAATTATCCGATATCGAACTGCTCTGATATTTAACCTTAACGGAGCCTCCGGCGATAATTGTGTCTATAACGGGTATCGGAGGCGTCTTTCGCCGTGATAAGTCGAGTAAGACCCTCATTATTTCATCTCTAAGCCTATTCAGCTTAATGTTTGTTTATGCGCCTTTGAGTTTGCAAATGGGAATTATGCAGAAGAAATTGCAGGTTTTGGTAAATAAATTAGATCACTCTTTAGAATTTATTGTATATCGCAATGCTTTGATCAATAGATTAACGCATACATATTACGCTTCACTCGAACTAACGTTCTTAATCCGAGGATTTTTGTTCCTCGCCTAGTCGAATCACACGCGTTACTCTCGGTTTCATCCGAGGCAACTTTGTTAGAGGCCATCAGAGCCTGCTGTTGTTGGAGATGGTCGGAGCTCTGGTAACTGTCATGTTGAGACTGGTGCCGCTGCTGCAGATGGCTCGTTTCGGCGTCGCTGCTCGGTCGTCCATCTCCGTAATCTTCGGCCTGGTTACATTGACGAGCATGCATGAAAGATAGAGTGGTTTGTTTCTCTCAGGAACTTGGTTTGGTGTGTTCGATATTTGCCGAACATGAAATCAGAATCTCACAGTGAGCAAGGCACCATTGCTTCAATAATAAAGCCGAAAATGAAAACTTATGTTTCCCACTTCATTCATACCACGGTTGTTGCATTTGTTCGAACCTATCTTGCTAACTTTTTCTCCAAGAAACATTTCGGATTCGATATATATTCGGATATGAGTACGATATATGATCTTTCAAATAAAATCGAATAAAGTCGAACATACTCGTGTCCGATATTAGCACTCAAACTCGAATAATATTGACATGGCCGTGGTAGGGTTTTCGGGGCCCTGTACAAATTCTTATAAAAGGGCCTCTATTTTTTAGAAATATTCGATTTTGGGCAACAATAGTGGCGTTTTTTTGACAAACGCCGCGATAGATTTATCTATAATGGCGTTTTATCAACAAAACCGTAATAATAGTGGCGTTTTTTTGAAAAACGTCGCAATAGGTCCATCTATAATGAAGTTTATTAGAAAAACGCCACTATATATATACTTTTTTGAGGCTTTTTTGGGGGGCCTTCGCGGTCGCGCAATTCGCGCAGCCCCAACTATGACCCTGAATACTGAAAGATTGCAGGCTTATAACGTTGCAAGGTTTTAATATTTTGATTAATTACTTTCAATATTAAGGTTGTTTATGTTTTATCGATTATATCGTGTACATCGCGATCGAAGACATAATGAATATAATTATAAAAACATCAATCATTATCCAAGTATATGGTTTCGACCCAATGAAAAATAAGTAGAGAAGAGAATATATTCAGCAAAAACCACGTAGTGATGGCTGAGCTTTGTGCTAAAGCACAACTAGTGTATCACATTCATATCTAGAGGAAATGTGTCCTTGCTGATATTCGCTTGAGGCAGTTGAGTCCTTGCTAGGCCATAGTATCTGGATTCAACGGGTTTCGATTTAATTTGAATTGATTGAGTCGACTTTTTCTAAAACTCAGGTTCAAACGAATTTAAATTTCAGGTGAAATTACCTGATATGATTAAAAATAATATGATTAATAAGGATAATTTAATAATATTCTTCTTTATATTTTTTTTAATTATGTATATATTATCAAATAAATATATATATATATATATATATATATATATATATATATATTTGAATCGGGTCTGATTTTGGGTCGGTGGAGTTATCTTGAACTCAAATTTGATCGAATTTCGGATGAAAAAAATCTTATTTTCGAGTTTAGGCTTGGACTATGCAATATCTCGTAATTTAATTCTTAAACTTGAAGTTATGTCGTATCATCAAAAAAATTATATTAAAAATTTTTAAAATTTGGGAATTAATGTAAATAAAAATATTAAAAAGAATAAAATTTAATTTACAATATAAATTGACAAGTTCATAATAGCATCTAACATTTAAGCTTTATGCTTTCCAAGATTCCTAATTAACTTATGCTTATTCCAATTACTTTTTTTCCCTTCAACTCATATAAACATCAAATTTTGGTACGTTTTATGCATTCACAACCTTATCTTAAAAACTTTTCATGTAAATTAAAAAAAAAATGCATTTGTAAAGACGTATGAGTGCACCGCCGGACCAATAAGTTTTAATGCCTTGGGCAAGATAATAATTTTATGTCCCTATACTTGCACCGAGAAAACCATCCAACTTCCATTAATTTTTTTGGATTTTTGAAGGGAGAATTGATTAAGCACCGTTTGGCGTCTGCACTTCCAATGGAGAATTAATTTTTTTGGAATGGCGATCAGGTGTTTTGGGCTAATTTTTTTGGGCCAAATATATATACAAACACTATAAGCACTAAAAAAATGATGTCCCCCTCAAACATATTGCCCTGGGCTAAGGTTCATCTGGCACATGTATTGGGTCGGGCCTGTATGAGTGTTAACCTTATCTTATAAATCTTGAATATAAATTATAAACTAAACATGAAAAAAAATACTTTTTATATTCCCACGAACAAAAATTTCTTTAACGGTAAGGGATTGTTGTTAATTCTAAAGATTACGAGTTCAAACGCTACATCTATAAAGACATATGAGTGTTAATAATTTAAGAGAATATACTAAGTGCATAGCCTTTATTTAGAGAATATAAATAGTAGTGGATAAGATTAATTAAACCCCATTTCACATTCTCCAAAAGTCTTGTTCTTGAGAGAGAATATAGATTCTTAATTATCACAAAACATAGGGACATGTGTATATGAGTACGAGTTGGCTTGACTCAAGTTTTGATTTATCCGAAGCTATTTCGGGTACTATAATTTGACTCGGATGTAAGGAGATTCCACTTGATTTGAATTTCAACGTAATTTTTGAGATAAAATTAGAGTTGTGTAAAATTATCCGACCCGATTGACCCGACCTGCCGACCCGGTTCTAAAAAAATCGAATAATTCTCTAAAAAAAATTATCCGGTCGGGTCGGGTACCCGGCCCGACATTTCCCGGGTCGGGCTCGGGTCACAAAATCTAGTTTTTTCGGGTACCCGGTTAGTTTTTTTATTTTTTTTATATATAATTATATAAAATATAATGAATTATTTATATTATGGATTATTATATTTTGTATTTTGAATTTTTAAATTTTATGTTCGGATATTAGAGTATGTAATTCGAAATTTCGAACATTTAAATTTGTGTATATATTTTTTAAAATTAATAATTTAAAAATAAAAAATTAAAAACCGAGTATCGGGTACCCGCAAAATCCGAGTACCAGATTACCGGGTACCCGTAACATCCGGGTCGGGACACGGGCCGAGAAATCGTCGACCCGAAAGTTCCGGGTACCCGAAAATCCAAGTACCCAGATTTACACACCCCTAGATAAAACATACACACCACATTATACAAATATATAAAATTTTTACTTTTATCAGATAAAATAAAGATTTAATTAAAAATATAAAAAATAATATAATATATCCCTACTTGAATCCCTTAATGAAGGGGAGAAGACTTTCTTTTTGTAGAGGAAAAAGAGCAAAAAAATTATTATCTTATCCCTAAAATCATAACATGGGACGGTTTTTTTCAAAATAAGGTTAATGTAAGACAAGTTGTGATTTTTCCTTATTTTTAAAATACAATTTTTAACCAATAACCAGTTGATCTAGTGTAGGATGGTAACGGGACGGTTTCGGGCTGGGGATTGGTCCCCCCGTCCCCGTCCCCGTTTAAAAAACCTTACCCGTATCCGTTCCCGTTTACAAAATCGCGGGGATTTAAATGGGGATCCCCATCAGGTAATCGGGGAAAACCGCGAGAAAACGGGTATCCCCGTTTAACATAAACGGTTATTTAAATGGGTATAGGGCCGGGTATCGAGTCGGGTATATATATTTAAATTAAATATATAAAAATTATATATGTATTTTTAATTTAATTTAAATTTATTAATATTATATATATAATAATTATTTTTAATATTTATCGGGTCGGGTATTGGGCAGGGTATTCGGGTAATCAGGGCGGAGATTACCAAACCCTAGTCTAGTGGGATGAGACACTATGTCTCTTAAGCAAGGTCAGGGGAGTTTGAATCCTGACGTTTACGAATTAAGAAAACTGGGTTGGAAGGGTCGTCACTGCCTCTGCAATACCCGATGTAGATTAGTCGGTCAATAGATCAAATACAAGTGATTAATTCAAAAACAATACAAATTTTAAAAAGAAAATTTTTAAACGCATCGAATAATCTTAATAATTAAAGAGAGTATTATTATCTATAAAATATTAAACTCGAAAAATTGTATCTATAAGATGTGTGCACTTATATTTATATCTTTATACAAAAATATATCAAAATTGACCATAGACAGGTCAATCCAACATGCAAGGCATTCTCATACATCAAACGTGCTAATGAGTACTCCTTGGGGTCCTTTCACCAAGAAAAAATGAACCATTTGTGTTCTTAGATGACAGACATTAACAGAAACTCTCTCTGACTTAGCAGCTAGGGATGAAAAAAAAAACCGAATTTGACGAGTCGGTTCGGGATGATAAACGGGAAAAATCGAATATTTTAAACGGAGATGGGGACGGGTTTGCTAATCTTCGCCGTGATTACCCGGCCTGATACTAGGCCTGATAAATATTAAAAATAATTATTTTATATATATATATATATATAATATTAATAAATTTAATTTAAATTAAATATATATATAATATTTATATATTTAATTTAAATATATATCTGGCCTGATACCCGGCCCGATATCCGTTTAAATAATTGTTTATGCTAAACAGGGATACCCGTTTCCTGCGGTTTTCTCCGATTATCCGATGGAGATCCCCGTTTAAATCCCAGCGATTTTTTAAGTGGGGACGGATATGGAATTTTTAAACGGGGACGGGGTCGGGGACCCCGTCCCGAACCCGTCCCGTTGCCAGCAGCCATTTCCGAGAGAATTTTGAGTTATTCTGAATTAGTATTCCGCGGTACACACAAATATGATCTTACTCTTTCTTAGGGTACAAGAAACGTCGTCCGCCGTCGGTTTTGTCGGATTTGCCGCTCGTTCTTCAGAATGTTCCCACTCTTTCTCTGTTACAGATTGAACTTAGGAATGGCAAAAGCTTCCCACTTGATCATTCTCACAAATGCTTTCAAATACACTTTTAAGAGTACAAATTAACTAGACTAAGATTGTGTACGTGTCAGAAAATCGTTTACTGCTAGACTACCATCGCCGTGGGCAACAGCGTCTTCGGGGTCAGGCATGAAGAGACTTTAAGATGAAGCCTGCACATTAACAACAGTATCTGATGAGAGCAAGTATTAACCCGGTACTTCTCTACTGTGCGGCGGTCTAACCTAAGGCTAATTTACGACGGGTTTTAACCTAAAATGTTATCCATCCAATCTAAAAGGTTATACAATTAGTAATAATTTCTGTTACAACCGAAAATATTACATTACAACATATTTTAACCTAAAATGTTACTTGTCTCCTCTAAAAAATTACACAATTGGTAATAATTTCGATTACAACTAAGAATACCTTAACGGTAACTTTTTAGAATCGGAATGATAAAGCAATTTACATGATTTGTTATGAAGAACGTAATATTTTCAGTTTCAACTAAAAATGCCATCCAGATTACTCTGAAGAGTTACGCCCTTGGTAAGTTTTCCGACTACAACTGATTTCTATCCTTTTTTAACCTTATATTAATCGGCTGTATTTTAGACTCATCCGTATTAAACAAACTTTCATTTATCTCAAAAAAGGAGATGGGGATGAAGGGGGATCAGAGAAGAAAATGTACATGACATGAAGTGAATATTTGTTACAAGAGCAGAGTTTTGTCATCGTTCTTAATTAGAGCATTAATTAAAGGTCGGATCATCGGGCCAATTAAACAACCTGAGGTTCTAATGATTGTATTAAGATGGGATATTGCTAATCATACAACAACTAATATGATCAGACATGTTCGTTGTCTAGATGAGATTAATGTTACCTGAGAATCGAGCTGCATCTCTCCATTACTATCTGCAACAAGACATGCACCATGTGCCTTTAACCACTCAACGCATTCCTCCAATCCATCCGAGTCTTTCTCATCACTTCCTTCATTAATAGGCATACCACTGTTGAAGCCCACCACCTGAGCAATGTACGGAACAGGTACCCGAGGACGATAAGATCGAGACATACAGTTTACAGACTTATACCGCATTTTCTCAACATAAAGATCTGCAAAAAGAACAAATGAAAAAAAATCAAAACAAAACTTAGAGCCCTTTGATATTACGTAATTAGTTTTAGCATTGAGATAACCCAAAGAGTACACTTTACCCATAAGGCAGGCGTTCAAGTTGGGTGCCGTTTTGTATAATCTAAAGAACAGGACATACTTTACTAAAGTCAGCTGCGCAAACTGCAAGTGCATGTTGAACCGCTAGATCCTTCTTTGCTTCATCAGACAACCTAGAAATCAAAAACGATAGGATCTTGTGTTAATATTCATAGCATGAAGAATAAAGCGAAAAATCGTGTATCAATAAACAACAGAACCAACCGTGGCATTGATGACAAGAGATCTCTGTTGTTGTTTGAGTGCATGATAACACCATAATTTTATCAGCCTGAAAACATCTAAAGGCTAATCCATATGACCAGCTACAGTAATATATGCTATATTACAAAGCATTACTTGACAACTATCAATGCCACCAAAAGAAATAAAACTAACATTCTAATGAATGATTCATACAATAGCTACAGACCCTAATCACTATTATCCATGTGTGTATTTTAGGCTAAAATAGTTAAAAAAAAAACCCTTGTACTTTTCCAAGTTCTCTACATAAGCATACTTAATAACACCCCAACATAATATTTGTCCAATTAAACCCTCAAAGTACAACTCTTACCTAATAAAACCCTTAAATTATTATGTTTGTGTAGTAAAACCCCTATGTGAGACATCTTTCTTTCTCTTTTTTCTTTGTCATGCAAAAATGGGATTGATTAAATGGAAGTAACACTAAACCGAGTACAAATGTACAATAGAAGGATGAGGGCTCATTTAGTGCTTTAGCTGTTTGTTTTATCAGCATTTTGCAAAACCACAATGTGTTAATTTAGCTTGGCAAACAAAGCTAAGAGCTACTTTGGGGGAAAGTATTCAGCCGCATCTGATACAGAAATGCTGAAAACAATATGATTTTGGGGCGAGAGAATTTAGCCAGTTAACAATCCATCTGTTATACGCTACACATTTTAACAAAAGCATGTAAACAATTAGCTATTCCAAACAATAAATTATAACAAATTGTATTAAAGTGCAAACCTGATTATACTCGGGCAGGTCCCCAACTTCCAATGCGACTCGAGCATGGATTTCATAAACCTGATTACCAGTGAAATTAAGCTTGAAAATTAGTATGATATCCAGTAAATATCAGTTTTGAAAATGAAACCCAATCAACATCAACATAACGATATCTATTGTCCAGAGACAGGGTTCTGCATCAGATATACCTTTACTGTTACCTGGTTACGAATTCATTGGACAATTAAGTCTTGACGAATCGATTTCAATTTATCACACTTATAAATAGGGCATGGGCATGGGCATGGGCATGGACTCGAACTCGACGGGTCTTTTTTTTAAAAGGTTTGGGTCGGGTCGAATTCAGATTTAGGGTAAAAAATTCCTGACCCAACCCGACCTAAAAAATATAATTTTACCTTATATATTTAAGAATAATTACAATAATACTCATATATATATATATATTAATTAAATCAATGTTTTTATTGAATAAAAATATTTTTTTATTTCTGGTCGGGTTCAGATTTTAGGCACCAAAATGTTTTTAAGGTATAGTTTGGACACTTATTTTTGTATCAAGCCTTTTACTTTTACCATCGAACTTTTAATTTTGTCAATCAGACTACTAAACTATTTAATTATTTTCAATCAAGTCACTTGTTAATAATTAACACTTAACAGATTAGGTGACATGACATCATTCGATTTGAAGATTAATTTATTTTAATTTATTAAAAATATGACTAAATTAAAAAAAATATGCATATAAAAAAGACTAAATATGTGATTATACCAAAATATTTGAGTGCCACATCAGTTAATCTATTAACTGTTAACAACTAGTGAGTTCATTGAGAATAGTAAAATAATTTAGTAGTTTAATTGATAAAATTAAAAGATTAATAAAAAAGACTAAATATTCGAGTTATTAACGATATAAAATTTACCCAAAAATTTAAAAATGGGATTTGGTAGTGGGTAGATATTTTAATGGGTTTGTGTCAATATGTCGAAATATGTACAAAAACCCGACCCGCTTGATAAAAATTAACTGACCCTATTCTCATATGTAATGGAGTAAGGGGAATGTAGGGTAGTAGGCTGCCCCAACGCCACGTTGAGAGCAGCTTAGCTTCCGTAGAAGACCTCCGTTATGAATTGCCCTCAGTGGGACTCGATCCCCAACCCGCTTGATAAGATTTCTCTATATAAAAATACTTGATTGGGTTATATATTATTGGGAAAATGACTATGAACTTGTTTTTCTAAAATTATAATTTAAAAAATATAATTATACTTATTTTTTTAAAAAAAATCATAAAATCATTAAAATAAAAAAATCTAAAAATATATCCTAAAAACTTAGATTTTTCATAAATTTGCAATTTTCTAATAATCTTGAAATTTTTATACAATTTTATGATATTTTAAATTTTTAAAAAATTTAATTAAGAATTACAAATCAAATTACCTCAATAATTAAATGAATGTTTGTTATTTTCAGAGATCCAAAGTTCAGGCATCAGAGATTACAGATTTAAGCGTTCATTGTCAAATGATTAAGAGTATTTATAACTGATATTATCATGTCAAGCACTCTATAATTAAAATATTAAAAAAAATAATTAAGAATAATTACATTTTTAAAATTTGAAGAAAAAATACTTTTAAATATTTTTCTAATTTATAATATTTTATAATTTTATTTGAATTTCGTATATATTTTTATATTTTGATTACTTGTGGCATGTGATTCGGCCACATCAAAAGGACAAAATAGGTATTAAACCAAATTCGTTTGCTATATTTCATTATATAAACTACATTTTATTTTATTTATAACTCTTAAATAATTAATGTATGCACATTTTTTAAATGTATATAATTAAAATAATTATTAAATTAAATACATTTTATTATACAATTTTTTTGAATAGTTTAGAGTGATTATATGTAGGGGTGTTCATAATTTGATTAAAACAAAATTAACCGAACAAAATGAAATTTTAATTTGTTAATTTTAAGTTCAATCGATCAACGGTTAATATTTTTTAAACTTCGAGTATCAATTATTTCTTTTCAAAAATGATTAATTAACTAAATTAATCAAAATTATTAAATATTTAATATTATATATATTTTATTTAATTTTATGGATGTTTAAACTTCAGTTTTAATCAAATTAACCAACTGAAGTAACTAAATAAATCAAAAATATCAAATATATATATATATATATATATATTATAAAATTTGGTTAATTCGACTAACCACCTAATTAACCAAACTTAGTTCGATTCAATTAATCTTTTTCGAAAATAATCAATTCGATTAACGGTAAAAGAAAAAATTAATTAATGAATTTTAAATACTTCGGTACGATCGGTTAATCGAATTAACCGATTGAACGCCCTTAATTATAAGGTAATCGAATTAACCGAACTTATAATAATCATATATTAATAAAAAAATAACTTATTTAAATAGTCGTTCTTACAAGTGCCACATAATCCTTTTACACATTTAAAATAAGATAAAAAGAGAAAAGCTTAAGAGTTACTTTTTTTTTGATAATTTAATTTTATTACTCAAAGAGCAGGATCTGCATAAAAAACAGCATGTTCAAGATTACAAAAAGTATCAACTTACAGCAGAATAAAATAACAGATAATCAATACCCCATTGCTTACAAAGTGTAGTATTAATACTATCATTCCTATTAATACTTCTACCCCTTAGTTGGATAGCAACCGAGTGTTTAACAGCATGGAGCATTGCTGCAAAAGTACGTGAACATCCTTGGAATAGCCTCTTGTTCCTCTCCTCCCAAACAGTGTAAATAAATGTTGTCCAAGCTATTTTCAAAATGGTAGTGAGCAATGATCTACCTTTCCAAGCATCACAAGCCCAAACTATGTGATTTCCCCATGAGCGTGATGTCATTCGCATGCCATTGAGAATGATAAGCGCCTCCCATAGAGCAATAGCAAGAGGACATTGAATGAATAAATGATCTCTAGTTTCCATCGAGTCATTACAAAACATACATTTATCATCGATATCAAACCCAAAACGTTTCAGTCTGTCTTTTGTTGGTAGTCTGTCTAATAAGGTCATCCATACAATAAGATTAAACTTAGGAATATGGAGAGGGAACCAAATCAGTTTGTGCCAAGCGACTTTTACCCCTTTGTTTCGAATCTGAAGCCAGGTTTCCTTAATATTATGCGCACCATAATTTAGCACATCAAAAACTTTGAGTCTCATGCTAAGTAAGTGGCGAAAGCTCCAACTAGAGTTAATACAAACGTCCATGTTCTAAAAATCAGAATCTTTAATTGCATCATTAGTCATCAAAATTGTTTAGGATGTTCATTTTAGTCATAAAAATGAAATGATCATCCAGCTCAGTTGGTAGAGCACAAGGTTCTTAACCTTGAGGTCGTGGGATCGAGTCCCACGGAGGGCATTTCATAATTCGGAGGTCTCTTACGGAAGCTGCTCTCAACCTGGTGTTGGGGGTAGCCTACTATCTTACCTCTCCTTACCCCATATATATGGGGGAAAAAGGACAGCAATTTTAGTCATAAGAGTCTATTTTGACTAACAAAATTGTTAGTCTTTGTGTGATTATCAACACCAACAATTTACATAATAGTCAATATTACTTACGTGACATGTAAAAAAAAAATATTTATCAAATACAGCAGTTTAAAAATCTTTAAAAATTTGACCTAATCCCTTAATATCATTAAAATAAATAATAAATTTTGAAAATTTGTAATTATCGCTGTGTTTAATAGATATTTTAACATAATCTCTTAATCCACGTAAGCAGAGGACTCACAATTCTATTAATCAAAATGGTCAACAAACTTCAAAAATTATGATGAATATCTTAAACAACTTCAATAACTAAATTAATAAAAAATAATAGAGACGAAATTGATATATTAAATTTACTACAATAGCAAAAATAACCCATATGCATGAACTGTATATAAAATTATTTTTTTATTATTTAATTAGGTTATTTTTGAAAAAATTATTATTTAATTAGACTTATTTCTCAATAACGGTAGAAGGTCGACCCCACTAGCCAACGCTCCCTCTCCATCTCCAGCGTCCACAGTGGGACCCAGCAGAGATTTCCCCTACACCCGGCTCCCCTGAATGAAAACCCCGCCACCTGGCTCCATAACGGAAAGAGAATTCAAAAGATTACAATGACGAAAACACCCTCAAACCTTTCCCAAATTTCCCACCCTACGAGAAAAAAGAAACGTTCCCTTTGCTCTCTGCTATTGGCTGCTTTTCCCTTTCTCTCTCTCTCTAAAAATCTCGACGACCGACGTCTTCCGTCACCGTTAAACCCCATCCGTTTGTTCTTTAACGCCGTTGAGTCCGCGCCTTTTGTCATCATCCTCTTGCTTACCCACTGACTTTCACTTTGTCCTTAGATAATTCTGTTTCAAACCCTTAAATCACGGGGGATTTTGTTCTTTTTTCAATTTTCGAATTTTCATTTAATGGTAATTAATTAATTGCAAAGACTTAATCGTTTCTTCCTTTTGATGTTTTAAGTTAATTTCTTTTTTGGATTTGGGTTTATGAACTTATTGTATTGCTTTTACTTTAAATTCTGCATGCTTTGGGGATTCTGTGAGTGTCTCTGTTTATTATTATTAAGTAATTTTTTTCCACATGGATTATGTTTGGTTGCTGAGAAAGTTAAAGCAAAGTGGAAAATAACGTTGTGACCGGTTGCTTTTCTCGTGATCCGTTTCTTAAGTTCATATCCTTTTCTTCTGGTTTTCTTGTAAGTCAATTCCCAACAGATTGCTTTCAATTTTATCCTTTTATACTTGGTATTTACTCCCCTTTTTCTCACTTCACCCATAATAAAAATATAAAATTGATTTGGTGAACGGTCTTGATATTCTTCTATTTTTATCAGAATTTTAGGAAAAGTGTGTTGTTTTCTTTATTCCTTTTAAAGGGTGAATAGGGTTTTTAAGGACCTGTAAATGGTGAATCGGGTAATTTGGTCTTTTTGGTAACTTTACCTTGATGGGGTTTGGTGGTGTTGGTGAATTAGATAATTTTAGATTGAATCTCGACCTCTGCTCTGACAAATCATATGTTTTACAAAAATATTTTTGATTGTTTAATGTTAAAAGGGGGAATCAAGTTTTTGCAACCTATGAAAGTTGCAGACATTATAAAAAAATATGGTGTATAAACCCTAGCTCTTTTGTTAAAGTTATTGTAACTGTTTGCAGGTTCTTCTTCCTTTCTTCCTCTTTTTGTCTGTGAATCTTAATTACTAACTTTTGCTTTGTAAGTTCTATTTTGGTTCTTTCTATATTGCACACCTTTGTTCTGAGGCAAACCAGATAGTCCAAGATTCTTATGTGCTCGAGTTTTCCATACATTTACAGGATCATACTTTAGTCTCAAGTTCGAAATGAGTTTGAGTACCCTGATTTGCTTTTCAAACTAAATGAATCATAAACCCGGGTTCCGTCTTCATGGTTTTTAGCATTTTAATATTGTCATAGCTAACCAGTGCATGCTTCTCTGTCTCATATACCTTTTTATTTTCATGATTGGTATCTCAATGTTGCATATGCTTTCTTTTCTTTCCCTCTGATGTATAAATTCCAATACTGAACTTCATATGAGTGTGTGCACTTGTTTTCTTAGCCATGATTTATTTCTATGGTATTTGCTTTATAGATTGACCCCACATTCTCTAGTGATTTTGATGATGTTTGTGAGCGTTTGATGTCCTTTCCCCCCTTTTTTTTATTAACTTCTATGGTTTATGTATCATATCTCCAGGTTCTTTGAGGCCCCATTCTTTCAAAGGTTGTTATGAAAGGACTCGGTTTCGTAGCAGATAATTTTGTGATCTAAAACTAGTTCTTGTTGATGATATATAGAAATGAAGAAGGCGTTTTTCTTCAAATCCTCCTCTAGCAGTGGTAATGGTAACGCCGTTGTTCCTTCACCGTCAGAAGACAAGCAAGTTTTCTGGGAAAACACATTGGAAAGTGATTTCAATGATCAACTTGATGACAAGGCTGAATACAGTTTTCTCAGTCCTAAACGTTTCTTTGGAAAATCTCGAAAGCAAATACCGGACAGCCCTAGCTTTAGTAACGGTCCGGCGGGTCTTCGAAGGAGTCGTTCTTTGTCATCAGCAGCCTTTCTTGTTGATGGTCCAGAACAAGAAGATGTCCCTTCCTCGTATGAACAAAATAGATCTCCTAATATTACTCCAAATCAACAGTATGATCAATCATCTCAATTTCTGCATTTGATGTGTTTGTTCATTTACAGAGTATAGAAATGATTGATTAGACCTATACCAACCTTGTTCTTTTGGTTTATTCCAGGAGAAGAACTCTTACCCCTAAGAAAAAATCTAAGGCTAAAAGACGTGAAGTGGCAGCTAATGGCTTCGAGAGGCCTGGTCCTTCTAGTTCTTCAAGGATACGCCATGATTCATGGGGAAGCTCTTCCTCTTGCTCTAGCAATGTGTCGAGTAAAGTTGTAGACCGCTATATTGATGGAGAACAGCTTCTGGAAAGCAGTAAGTCCAAGAGCAGTTCTAAAATAAATAATCTTCGAAATGGTGGTGGGAGGCTTCCTCATCGAGTTCAATATACAGCTCCACCGTCTCCAACAGATAGTGTTAAAGATAAAAACATTAATTCATTTAGGGAAGCTAAAGGCACGCGTCTTCAGTTCTCATCTAGAGACTGGACCGAAAACGGATTTGGACATGAGTCACCTCGGAGGATTGCAAAGAATGTGATTGAGAGGCTTTCGCAGACTCATATCCCGAGATCAAGTTCAAAGGAATTTGATCTTCATATTCCGATCACCACTGAAGATGTATATGGTGAATACTTGCATAGATGCCCGGAGTCCAAATTGGATGTATTGGCCCAAAATGGTTGTGCAATGGACGAGCCTTACGACGATATCAGATATCATGAGGATTTCTCTGGCTTGGAGAAGCAACATCGTTTCTTTGGGGGAAATTCTAATGGTTTGAACTCTTCCGAAACTGAAGAGGAAACAGATTTGGAGTTGCAAAGAAGATATAAAGAAGCTGGGGAGAGAGTTTTGCTTCTTTCTGAAGCTCTTGATCAGGAAAGCTTCCTTCGTAACATTGGCTTTAACATTTCATCTCTCATTGGGACCATTAGATGCCTTTCGGAGGACAAAATAAACCTGGCACTCGAGGTTTCAGAACTTCTACAGTCTAGAATTGCAGAGAGAGATCGTGCTAGGGAAGAAATGAGAATGGCAAGGGCAGAACTTGAGTCACAGACAAGAAAACTAGAGACGGAGAAACACGAGATACAGTTGGGATTGGAAAAGGAGTTAGATAGGTCAAGTGATTGGTTGTCTAAGCTCGAGAAGTATAAGTTAGAAGAGCAAAGGCTTCGTGAACGAGTTAGAGAGCTTGCGGAGCAAAATGTTTCTCTTCAGAGAGAAGTCTCTTCCTTGAATGAAAAGGAAACAGAAAACAGAAGCACGATGACTTATTCTGTGGAACAACTTAAAGAGCTGACTAGACGGGTCGAAACATTGAATGATGAGAATGAAGATCTAAGGAAAAATCTCTCCCAATTGCAAGAGAAGCATCAAGCAGCAATAGAAGTTACAGATTGCATTAGAAGAAATTTTGAAGAGAAAGATACGGAGTGCAAGGAGTTGCAGAAGTCCATTGCCAGATTATTCCGAACCTGCAGTGAGCAAGAGAAAACAATTGAAGGGCTGCGAGATGGATATGGTCAGGAGATGGAGAAGAAGCATTCCATGAAAAAGAATGAAAATCAGATGAAAATTTTGCAAATGGAGCAAATGAGGTTGACTGGAGTAGAATTGGCCTTAAGAAGGGAAGTGGAGTGTTGTAGGCATGAAGTTGATTCTCTTCGACATGAGAATATCGATTTACTGAACCGCTTAAAAGGTAATCGAAAAGACATTGGAGCCTTAACCATCAAGCTTGACAAGGAAATGTGGAGTCGTGTAAGCTACTTGCAGGACCAAGGACTGTTTAAGAAGGGAAGTGGAGTGTTGTAGGCATGAAGTTGATTCTCTTCGACATGAGAATATCGATTTACTGAACCGCTTAAAAGGTAATCGAAAAGACATTGGAGCCTTAACCATCAAGCTTGACAAGGAAATGTGGAGTCGTGTAAGCTACTTGCAGGACCAAGGACTGTCTATGCTCAATGAGAGCAACCATTTGTCTTCCAAGTTAATCGAGTTCATCAAAGGAAAAGCTAGTCAGCTTCAAGAAACTCAGCAGGGTCTAGATGGTCAATTTATCATTGAATCTGATATAAAGGTACAATGCTTTAAACGTGGAGCCGAAAGCCTAGCAAGGAGTTTGCAGACAATATCTACTTTGCTGAAGGAGAAATCCAGTCCAGTTGCCTCGGAAGCTCACTCAGAATCTATGAAACCCGACAATCAATCTTCCGAGGTAAATTTATGCTGAAATCTACAGTTGAAGTTAGTATATATATCATTTCTCATTTTCCATTACAAGTTCTTTTCAATTTCATACTTCATACTTTATTTTGCGACACTGTACACTTGTTAGGAGGTTCTAAGAACAGAGCTTAAATCAGAAACATTGCTAACTAATTTGTTGAGAGAAAAGCTATACTCAAAAGAGCTTGAAGTCGAACGGTTGCAAGCCGAGGTGGGAGCAGCTGTAAGAGGTAATGACATCCTTAGATGTGAAGTACAAAATGCAATGGACAACATTTCCTGCCTCACCCACAGATTGAAGGATCTTGAACTGCAGGTAGCTTTTGATCTTTAAATGTTATACAAAATCTTTCTTCTTATCTTGCATGTGAATAGCATGTATGAACGAAATTGTTATAAAGAAGTCGAAAACAAGAAAGAAGCAGCATAGAAAAAACTGCGCTCCGGAGAATTAGAGGGTGCATGCTTGGGAAATCGAATTATTTTTTTGACAATCGCAGGACACCATATCTTAAGAGTTTGATTTAAGTGCACACATATAGTTGCTTGATGTTTTGACTTTTGCGGTATGCCGCAGATTCTTTGTTTCCGATATTCTGACATTTGAACCTGTACCCTTCACAGTAAGACACCCTACTGAAAGGTTATAGAACATATTTGGCTAATTATTTGGTTTCGATATGAACAGATACTAAAGAAAGACGATAACATAAGCCATCTTCAGAATGATTTGCAAGAATCAATGAAGGAACTGTCGATCTTGAGGGGGATACTGCCTAAAGTTTCCGAAGAAAGAGATTTGATGTGGGAAGAGGTGAAGCAATACAATGAGAAGAACATGCTATTGAACTCAGAGGTGGAAGTATTGAAAAAGAAGATTGACACTTTGGACGAGGATATACTTTTAAAGGAAGGCCAAATAACAATATTGAAAGACACTTTAAGCAACAACAAAACTTTTAACCTTCTCGGAAGTCCAGATTTGACTCAAGAATTCCTCCTGGAATGATCGGCCGAAAGGCGGGAGACTGAACATATTGTTTCATAGGTTTATACAAGTCTTTATACTTTCGAATTGGTGTTGTTGAGGTTGTTTTTTGTTCTTTCTTTGTCTTGGGTAAGGAAAGAGGTGAAAATGGGACACAGTTTGATTCTTTGTTATAGATTGAAAGTCATACAGATTGTATGTAGTTGGTTTTCATCTCGTAAAACCAGATGAAATTTTAATCCTTTTTAGTTTATGTTTGGGAATTGATCGTTATCATTGTGTAAATGCATTTCTTGATTCAAACGAAAGACTTGTCCAACTTGTTTCTTGAGTTCCAAGCAAGGTCAAACTGTCAAGACCGTATTACCAGTTCGACTGTCCGGATTAATTACGATAATTTTACTTTTGTTATTCCTTGTTGTAAGGTCATACCAGTTGAATGTAGTAGGTAGTTCATATGATAAACCCAGAAGACATCTTTTCAATTTTCCAGTGTCTGTTTTTGTTAAATTGTTGTCATCCTTGTGTATAACTTTAAAAAACCGAATCCGAGATGAAACTGTTAAAGACCTACGATTACTGGTTGAAACAACCAGACCGGTTTCTGTTCTTTATCACATGTTTATTACATAAAAGAATTCTCAAGATAGATTGATTGAATTGGTAACTCAAATATGACAGATTGATTGTTATATCAGCATCGTGAACTGACACGTCAATACTATAATGGTCAACGAAGAAAAATGTTAGTCAAAGAGTCACATTAATTTTATTTTATGAGTTTGAGGATCACATTAAAAGAAAAAAATAATAAGATAATTATATTATTTTTTTTTAAAAAAGTACAAGAATCTCTAATATATTTTTTCAATATTTAAATCATCTCTGTATACTAAGGACCTATAATAATTTTCTATGAAAATAATATTTTCAAACCAAAGATTTCCTAGATGTAAGAACCATATATTAACCATAAAATTATGATTATTAAAACAAGATTAGACACATATCATATGCAATTGGATGCACCAAAATCATGAAGAAGAAGAAGAAAAAAATGCAAAGAAAATCTCAAAAGCCAAAGGTAACAAGGAGGTAGTTAATAATTTTGCAGCTGTTTACTAAATACAGGAGGGGGAGAGAGATGAATAAAAGTTGCCTAAAATGTTGGTTTGTTCGTTGTTGAAGCCAACAAGTCCAAGTCAAACCCCTTCAACCAATGAATCAGAAAATAAAATAAAAAAACTGGAAAAAATTCCAACAAAAAACCATAAACATAACCCAAAAACCCACAGGAAAGGGGAAAAAAGTCACCTTGTCACGGTGGTTTCCAAAACTTCAAGATTTGTTTTGTTAAATTTGTTTTCTTTGTCAAATCTCTCTCCAGGTCTACCTTTCTTACAGCCTTGTTTTTGTTCTTGTTTTATTGTCTTAAAACATTCTTAATCCTTTTGTTTTGGGGTTACTCATTTGATTGTTTTGTTTATTTAATCGTTCAAAATAATGGGTCTTTGGAGTCTTCTTTGGCAGACTATATAACTGAAAGATCATGCAAGATTCTTCATTGTTTCATAAGATCTGTAAGAAGAAAATCTCTGTTGGATCCTTTTGATATTAATTAATTATTGTTTATTTTTGTTTGATGTTTTTAAGGTTGATGGGTTATCTTTATCTGAAAATTCTTTCAATTTTCTCAAATTTCCTTTTGTTTAATGCATGTAGAAGATTCACAATGTAGGTTGCAGTTGATTGGTGTCTGAAATTTTATATTTTTGTTCCAAAGTTGATGTTTTTATATTTCTAGACATACCCAAAGCTTGGTTTGGATTTTAGTACATGTTACAGATCGATTGGTGTTTGAATTTCTTGAATGTTGTTCTAAATTTGTTTCCATTTTAATGCTTAAATAGATTAAAGGTGTGGAATTGTGCAAGTTCATATCTTTTCTTTGATGTTTTAAGATATAGATTGATGATTGTTTGAAAAAAGTTTTGTTTTTTTGTCTGATTTATGTAGATTAATGTTGTCTGCATTCGTGGATGCGTGATTGAATTCTGAAGCTTCGGTTCCGGATTTGGAAATCGAGGAAAAACCAGAGCGAGTTCTTAGGTTGTGATTAATTTTCTGAGTATTGGTTTTATGAAAAACTTGTTTGCTTGGTCATTTGGGTTAGAATATGTAAGTTATGGTATCAGGATCGTTAATGCGAATGATGCCGCCCTGCTGGAGGCCTTCCGTCGAGGGTGAAGATTCTAGTGGAGGTAGTGATGCTAATGGTAGGGTTGATGGTTTGTTGTGGTATAAAGATTCGGGGGAACACATTGCCGGTGAGTTTTCGATGTCTGTAATTCAAGCAAACAATCTGTTGGAGGACACTAGCCAACTCGAATCTCGTTCGAAATGGGGCCTCGTGGGACATTTGTTGGAGTTTACGATGGTCATGGAGGTCCGGCTGCTGCTCGGTTTATAAACGAACACCTTTTCAGCTATATCAAGAGTATGTTTTTCTTTCACCTCGATGCTGAGTTTCATCATATTATGCTATTTTGTGCACTTCGGTTTGGATAGATTTTGATGTTTGATGAATGACATCTTGGCTTGTTTCGACTGTTTGTCTCGGAATCTTCGTGTTTGGTAGTCATATCCCCGTACCCATATGTGAAAATATGCAGGACACCGATGGTTTGAGAAAACAAAGAGTCAGAGCAACATCTTACTTTCCTAAACATGAAATTCTGTTTGCCCTCCGTAGTTCGAGTTATTTTACGATAGCTGATGCACATGTTTACTGACTTGACAGCTATTCTGATGCAGAGTTTACAACCGAGAATAATGGGATGTCGGTTGATGTAATCAGCAAAGCATTTTTGGCGACCGAGGAGGAGTTTCTTGTTCTTGTTAGGAAGAACTGGCTAAATGACCCGCGATGGGCTTCTGTCGGTTCTTGTTGTTTGGTCGGAATAATTTGTAGCGGACTGCTATACATTGCAAATGCAGGAGATTCTCGAGTGGTCTTAGGAAGTCTGGATAACAACTTTAATGAGGTAAAGGCAGTTCAGTTATCATCCGAGCACAATGCGAGTCGAGAATCTGTGCGGGAAGAGTTGCAATCATTACATCCCGACGATCCACAGATTGTGGTCCTCAAGCACACAGTATGGCGTGTGAAGGGTATTATTCAGGTAGTTTATCATGTTTGTGGGATATTTACTCTATTTGATGATAGCTTGTTATTTCCATCTATGTTCCTCTGGCTCTTCATTTTGCTTGAGGTATTCATGTCCTAGATATATTTGTACAAGTACCTCGATACGGCCCTTCGATTACCCACCAACTGCATGGAAAAACTTGGAAAAGAATTGAACTTACCTGTATCCGACGGTCACGCCCTAGTCTGAGTAACAGTTTTACCTCTATAAACCATTGTCTTTATGTCATCAAAGTAACCACTTTGAATCGTTGAAAATTGGTCGATTACTTTCTCATTTTACGGCTATTGAGTATGAAGTTTCCAAGAATACCAGTACAGAGTGTTTGTCATTTCGTTTATAGGTTACAGAATTTGGCATATCATACATCATTCTATGTTTTCATATGAGCATCCTCTACCATTGTTATCCGTTTGTACGTTTATTTTCACAGAAAATGGAACTTTTCGGGGGAATTTCCGTTTGAATTACTATCAATCCGACTGAGAGAATTAGCATGATCTACACCAACATGCACGCGCATACTATAATCCGTTAACCAAAGTTTATCATGTGACAGATTTCCAGATCCATTGGTGATGCTTATCTAAAGAACGCGGAGTTCAACAGAGAACCTCTATTGCCGAAGTTTAGGGTCCCCGCATCGTTCGATAAACCAATCCTTAGAGCTGATCCAGCAATATTAGTTCATAAAATCGACCCTGAAGATCATTTTCTTATATTTGCATCAGATGGTCTATGGGAGCACCTTAGCAATCAGGAGGCAGTCGACATCGTCAACACTTGTCCACGTAATGTAAGATTTATCTTTTGTGATTTTCTTTTTATCGAACCGAACTGTACTGCTCCGATCCTTCATTTTTCTTGAAGTGCCCGTGTTTGATATTTGTGTCCAATGCATATCTGGATATGGTTATAGAGACATGATTCATTTTAAAAATGAACATATCCGAGTTATGTTTGTATACCCATATGATCGCACACACCGGACTCCGAGAAAAGTTGGACTAGAAAACTGTAACCTTTTTTCAGGATCGAGTTCTATGTTGGGTTCGCTTAGAACTTAGAAGTCATAATTTTTCCAATGATTCAGTTGTCTCGGGATATACTTACAAGACATGCTTACACAGGGTATTGCCAGGAAGCTTGTCAAAGCCGCTCTTCGTGAAGCAGCAAAGAAGAGAGAAATGAGATACTCGGACTTGAAAAAGATTGACCGTGGCGTGAGGAGACGTTTCCACGATGACATCACAGTCATCGTTTTGTTTCTGGATTTCCATATGGTAAGCCGCAGCCACTGGCACGGCCCCCTGGTGTCAATCCGAGGAAGCGGACAAGGCGTTTGCTAGTGCAACAGGTCCTAAACCTCTTATCATTAGCTCCTCATTGTCTCCTTTTTGTATGAAGAAGCACTTTTCTTTTCTTTTTTTCCTTTTAAAGAGGGATCGAAAATGAATTTTTTTCCGCCTTTTTTCGTATGTATAGTCACGCAATCCTTAATAGAATTCTTGATATATGTCAGTTACCGGCTTCAGAGTGCCTTTCGGAGACTTCTCCGAAGTTCACTCTGATAACCGATGTTATGATAACCGAAAAGATATAAATTCATTGACATATATGGTATAGTCGATTCGCCTGCAGAATTGGTTTGTACTGCAAAGTATCCATGTTAGTCACTTGTATCAAATGTATTCGTGTCGGAGGATGATTCATCCTCGAATCACGATAACATAGAGTTCTAATCGTTGTTGCCTTGTTGTTTCATTCGAACTGAGCACAACCGGAGGATGTTATCTACGAACACCGAATCTATGGAGATCCTAGCTGCCCTAGTTTCATATGAACATGAAATATAGTATCAGATGCATGTACTAGTTTATATGAGCAAAGCCTCTCTGGTTTTAGCAGTTGGAAGTTGGTCTGGCTATCCGAAACCATAGTTAGTTAAAGACACGGTGATCGACACGGCGATCGAATTGGAGAACCATGATCAATATCGACGAGTTTCTTCTTCGAGCTCTTGTTTCCGTGAATGTCGAAAATTACTCGGTATTCTACATTCTGCAATTTTTTTCCC